CATCAAGTATTCCTGCCGACAGCTTTTCACGCACTCAACGGGAACCGAACACTGCCTTCTTCTCTTCTTGAGGCAGACTTCCTTCACCTACATCCCACTGCTGTATGTAGCCCTTGAAGGGTTCCATCGACACACACCGGTAGAAGCGTGTGGAACGTGCGCGCACAGCACACAGCAGCGGCAACACATTCGTGGCGGCGAACATATTTTCATCACCTATCTCTCAAAATGCTTACCTTCCGCTTCGTTGACGTTTGGGATTGTTTTGCGATCGTTTGCGTTGTCTTTGTTTAATTTTTGGCGAGCGAGACCAATTGAATGGGTCATTAATCCCTGATGTGATGAACGTTGCATTTGGGCACGGTACAACGTATACACATAGCGTTCACAGCAGGGGAGCAGTGCTGCTGCGTGCTGTGTGATGTGTGTGCATCATCTTTACACTTCTACTGCGGTGCTTGTGTGGCCATCGGAGCCTTGTACAGAGGTGCGAGGTCCATGGTGGGGTAGTAGACATATCCCCCCCGCCCCGCAGGGGCACATCATCCGTAGTTTACCCCACCGGCGGTGTTACCACCTGAACGGAACCCTTCGGGCTACGCCGTTCGAGGTAACGATGCGTCATACCGTAGCCCTACAGCGAAGCAACACATCCTGTGTTGACTGAAGTCTTGTGTGACGAGATACCACTAGAGGGGGTAAGCAAGGCTTTTGTACCCCACCAGTGAGACGGCGGTGTTCGCTTTCCACTGGGTGTTTGTAATGCTGTGGGGAGGAATACTTATGTGCTCGTCGCCTCACGTCGTGCCCGCTGCCGCGTGCTGTGCGTGCACGTCCCACAAACTGAACGGTCGATTGGCGCCTTGAGGCGCTGCATACATTACAGCAGTGGGATTTTTTCTCGTAAATAAAGCTGAAAGAAGTCTGCCTCATGAAGATGTTCGGTTGCCTTTGGGTGCGTGAAAAGCTGTCGGCAGGAATACTTGATGTGCTGGACGCCTCACCTGCTGGCTGCTGCTGTGCTTTGTGCGTGCTGTTCTCACACATTTCTACCGTGTTTGTCAGTCGATTGGTGCCTTGTGGGCGGAGATACAGACGGGGGGGTGTTTAGACACTAATCCCCCCCCGGGGGGCAGGTTCGGGCAACAGATATACTTTCCCCATCAGCCATGGCTGCACCAAACCTGAACCGTTTCCGCTGTACGATGTAGCGCGATAGACCCACATCACAGCAACACAGCCGTGCATGTCCTGGCTCGGTTGGTGCCTTGCGGGCAGAGATACAGACGGGGGGATGTTAAGACACCGATCCCCCCCCGGGGGGCAGGTTGGGGCAACAGATATACTTTGCCCATCAGCCATGGCTGCACCAAACCTGCACCGTTTCCGCTGTACGATGTATCGCGCGATACCCATACATCACAGCAACACAGCCATGCATGTCCTGGTTCGGTTGGTGCCTTGCGGGCTGAGATACAGACGGGGGGGTGTTTAGACACTAATCCCCCCCCGGGGGGCAGGTTGGGGCAACAGATACACTTTGCCCATCAGCCATGGCTGCACCAAACCTGCACCGTTTCCGCTATACAATGTATCGAACGATAGCCATTCATCACAGCAACACAGCCGTGCATGCCCTGGTTCGGTTGGTGCCTTTTGGGCAGAGCTATAGACGGGGGGGGATTTAGACACGCCGATATATCTTCAGCACAAAACTTTAGCGAGCCAACGTTTCGTATGGACCGTGGTTCTCGGAACAAGTTTCTCTGGCGCTGCGAATCCATCGCTAATCCATCTTAGACTCTTTTCCCAGATATACATTTTGTAGATGGATCGTTGAGTCACATCAGAAACAATAAAACTGTGAGTCACTGGTCTGTCTGCCATATAGGTTCCACTTGAGGCCCTCTGTCCTCTGTCTAACTGTTCCTCCGCTGGTTCTGCGGATCTTTCCGTGCGGCCCGCATGCGCATGTATGTCACTGTATGCGCATGACCGGCTACCGCACATACTACACCCGCCCGGACATCACTGCCCGGCATATTGTCTTGTCCTCTCACGCCCGGGGAGATAACGCCCCGGCCGTGCCGATGCTGTGCGCGTCACCGCGCCAGCGCAGACTGCGCCACGTCAGGCTGGTTCTGCGTCGACAGGGCTGAGGATCGGTGTGCTGTGCACACCTCGCCTCCCCCCTCGTCTCTCACTCTTTTCCCTTTCCCTCTCTTCCCAGAGACCACCACTGGCTCTTCCTAGAGAAACTACTCTGTCCCGCTGTCTGTCACCAGCGGTCCCCACCGATCGCTCCGGAAGTCTCCTCTGTCCCTACAGTTGAGAGAAGGTTCAACCCCTTCCATCGGTCCGAGGTAGCCCATACTCTTATTGGCGTCAGCTCCAGGTTAGCCTGCTGTCCTCCTCGTACCATGACTTCCGCCGACGACCTCGCCTACCAGCTGTCTTTGTCCAATTTAGCCAACAACGGCGAATTGCCTACGGATCAACCCGGCGAACTCTCCGTCCCACCTGTCGCCGAAGCCCGAGATACTCCGCCCACCAGCGGAGGCCACGTCGAGGCCAAGGGCTTCGACCCACCGTCACCACCCCCACCCAACGTCCAGGACCTCGTCATCACCACGTCTCCTCCTCCGTCCGTAGCGTCCACCGCTGCGCCCTCCGTCGGCGCTCCGTCCGCCTCCTCTTCGTCCACGGACCTCACCTCCACGCTCTCCAAGATCCAGTCGGTCGTGGACAGGCACCTCGACCTGGTCACCGATGGTCGCCTGGAGCAGCTGCCCGACCACGTAGTGCAGCTGATGGACAGGATGGTGAGTCTGCGTGCAGTCGCCGTTAGGGCGGAATCCAGTTCCCCGCCTGTGTCTGTCGGTGCTTCGTCGCACACCCCCTCTGTCCCGGACTTGACCCGTTCGTTCGCTGCCGCGTTGTCGCGGCAGAAGCATGTCGTGTTGACCCCTGTTGATGTCAAGCAAGTCCCCCGTCTAACTGGTAAAAGCGACGTAGATGTCAACTCTGTCATGTCCCAGTACCGCCTTATCGCGGGATTCAAAGTCAAGGGTTCGTACCCTACCAACACCCCTGTCACGGAAATCGACAACCGCGCTGATGCCGTTGCATTCGAATCCATCTCTCTCATCTGCGACGGTCCCGTCTTGCAGATCTACCAACAAATGATGTCTGGGAAAATCGATTGTTCCGCAACCTCTGGCTCGTACCACGCTGTAGAACAAGCGAACTCTTACCCACCGCCCACCACATGGGTAGAGCTCAAAACTGCTCTTCTAGATGTCCTCATGCCCTCCAACTGTGTTGAAGAGAGCGCACTCCGTCTAGTCAACCTCCGTCAAGAGGCCAACGAGAATGTCAGCTCGTATGCCCTTCGTCTGCAAACCAACTGTACTAGGTTTGAACATGCTGTCACTAGGGCTACCCCAGGCCGCTCGCCGTACCAAGCACTTGTGGTAGTCCTCTTTCAAAATGGCCTTGTCCCGACTATTCGGTCCAAAGTTCTTGATAAGAAACCTGTCAAAGCCCTTCGGGAGGCTATCGATCGCGCTCGCCGTACCGAGTCCGCGAACTTGTCTGGTAAAACCCCTGCTGTCAGCGCCGTCTCGCTCACTCCTACCTCGTCCCGTCCCGTGTCACAAAAGTTCGAACACCACCGCCAGAACCGAGGACGCACTCCGGCGTTCCAGTCGGGATCCTCGTCCGGGGGTGGCTCGTCCTCGTCCGGGGGCAAGGCGCCTCGCCACGGCACCCACCGCGGCGGTGGTGGCAACTCCCGTCGTCCCGTCCGCAAGGAGCGCCCCAGGTGCACCCACCCCACGTGCGACAAGCCCCTGGGGCACACGACCGCAACATGCTTCCAGAAGAAGCGTGAAGAAGCGGCAACCGAGCGCAACCGGCGGCGCAACCAGCCGACGGCCAAGCGTCCGTGCGCGGAAGACCGCACGCCTCGCAGCAAAGATGCGAGCACCGATGATGACGAGTAGGGGTGCCCAGCTAGCGTAGCGCCTGCGGTAGTAGGGTCGTCTCCTGCAGTTGGCAGGAAAGGCGCGAAGAGAAAACTCTCCGCGTCAGTAGCTGTCGGTACACCTGCTTTTGTTGTGCCCCGTGTCCCTGTCCGTAACGGTAGTTACGTAGTGCCTAGAGTACGTCGTCGTCCTCATGGCACTGAGAGAAAGCTTTTAGGTCTCACTGCTTTGTCTGAATTTCGTGTCCCCTCCCCGGTGCTTGATGCCGAAGAGGTACAGCCTCTGCCATCGTCGCGTAAACGTCCTGCGTGTGATAGTAGAAGCGCTGTGTCTTCAACTCCCTTGAGTGTGCCCATCTGTAGCCGCGACGGCGATGTCGCCCCGCAGAAACGAGTCACTTTTGCTGAAGTTGAATCTGGAAAAAATAATTCAGACGATGTGTGGTACAACTCAAGGATGGCGCACAAACCCAATCTTTCTCGCCTGTCTTTGTCTTTGTCGTCGCGACGAGTACGTATTGACGGCTCCGTCGAAGACTGTCCCGTGAGTAACATCACGGTCGACACAGCTACTGATGTCTCTGTCGTGTCGCTTCCTTGGTTGCAATCCCATCCGACCTTGCGAAATGCGCCACTCAAACCTGTCCCTCCGGCCGCCGTATCCCTTCGAGCAGCGAACGGCTCGCCAATAGAGGTCAAGGGGTTCATTGATTTTCCATTAACCCTTTGCGGTATCACCCGTATGGTCACCGCTCTTGTCGTCCCCTCCCTAGGACCCGATTCAATACTGTTAGATAACAGCGTCATGTCGGATTTTGGTGCGATCCTAGATTGGGAACAACAAACCCTGTCCTTTTCGTCCTCTGGTATGCAAATCCCAGCTGTCCACCGCACCAACTCGTCCAGTGATACACGTAGAAAACGTCACCGCCACTCGAAACCGTCCGTGGCTGCTGTCCATAGCGACTCCATAGAGGTTGCTGTGTCTTTGCGTGAACGCGTCGATATTCCACCGATGCGTGAGGCTCTTGCCGTTGCCTACACTGATTGTCGTCCACCGGAAGATTGTACCGTCGTTGTCGAACCCCGGATCGTCTCCGAACAAGACTTAGTCCACGACGAAACACTTAGTCCCTTCCAAAACATTGTCGTTGCCCGTACTCTAGCTACATGGCACGCTTCCGATGGATCTGTCGTTGTCCAAATCGCCAATCCTTCTGCCGATGGCGTCCGTCTTTATGATGGCCTATGTCTTGGTCAATTGTCCACAGTGACTATCACTGAACCCGACCAACTCCATGTCAATTCTGTCGCGAACACACCCGTCACTGACGACGAAATTCGCCACGCCAAGTCCGAACTCGAAGAGCCTCTGTCCAAGGCCTTCGACAACACAACGCTCACCAACGAGCAACAACAAGCTGTCCTCGACTTGTGCGCAAAATACCGTCCTGTCTTTTCTCTGTCAATGTCCGAACTCGGCCGCTGCACCATTGCAGAAGCCACGTTCCCCGTGCCGCCAGGCACGCGTCCTGTCGATCGTCCGCCGTACCGTCCGAATCCCCGCGTAGCCACTGTCTCCGACAAATGTGTCGCCGAAATGCTCGAATGGGGTATCATTGAAAAACGGCCCAGCGCATGGGGAAGCCCATGCACACTTGTCGCTAAAAAGAACGGCAGTCCCCGTTTCTGCGTCGACTACCGCCACACCCTCAACCGCCACATCGTCCGTAAAACCTGGCCCATGCCTAACCTCGAGTCCTGCCTGGATGCCGTCGGCCAAGCTCTCTACATCACCGTCGCCGACATCCTCAGCGCCTTCTGGCAGATCCCCGTGGCAGAGGAGCACGTCGACCGTACTGCATTCGTCACCCCTACCGGCAAGTACTGTTTCAAGCGTATGCCGTTTGGAGTAGCGAACGCACCGTGGCTTTTCCAACATGTCATGTCTCTAGCTCTAGGTCATCTAGGTCCAGACTCTGGTGTTCTTTCGTACATGGACGATTTGATCTGTATCAATCACACGTTCGAAGCTCACCTGTCATCTCTCGAGAAAATGTTCGCAGCATTGCAAGCAGCAGGGCTCACGCTCAAACCGTCGAAAATTCAATTCGGTCAGAAAGAAGTCGACTATTTGGGTCATGTCATCTCCGCAAAAGGTATCTCTGTCAGCACCGACCGTATCGATGCCATTCGCAACCTGCCCACTCCCACCTGCATCAAAGATCTCCGATCTGTCCTAGGCATGGTAAATTTTGTCCGACGTTTCATCAAAAATTACGCCGATGTCACTGCTCCGCTGGTCGAACTCACTCGAAAAGATTATGTCAAACGTGCTAGTGTTAAAAAAGCATGGGGGTCGGCCCAAGATGTCGCCTTCGAAAATGTCAAAAGAGAGTCCTGTCCTCTACACCTGTCCTCCACTTTCCCGATTTTTCTCGAGAATTTGTCGTTCACACCGACGCCTCTGAACAAGGCGTAGGCGCTTTCCTCGCTCAACCATCCCGTGATAGTGCCGACGGTAAAGAACTCGATATCGTCGCGTTTTACAGCAAACGTTTTTCTAAGGGCCAACGCCATTACAGCGCTACCATGAAAGAATGCATTGCGGTTGTCTGGGCCCTCACCCACTGGCGCCCGTACCTTTGGGGCCGCCATTTTACGTGTAGCACTGACCATCAAGCGCTTACGTATCTGTACCACATGCAAGACACGTCCAACATGTTGACGCGCTGGGCTATCGCACTCCAGAACTACGATTTTACTGTCAAACATATGCCGGGGAAACTCAACGTTGTCCCCGACGCTCTGTCCCGTTTTTTTAGCGAGGTTAACGGCGATCATGTGCCTTCCGAACCGCGCCTTGCGGCTATCTGTCGCAACGTGCCCGACGATAAACCATTTTGTCCCCTGTCCCTCGCGATTACGAAGTGCCTTCATACAACCTCGATGAAACCGCGCTCGTCGAAAGCGACCGCGAATTATTTTCGAGTGCTGTCTCCGTCTTAACGTGTAGCACTGACCATCAAGCGCTTACGTATCTGTACCACATGCAAGACACGTCCAACATGTTGACGCGCTGGGCTATCGCACTCCAGAACTACGATTTTACTGTCAAACATGTGCCGGGGAAACTCAACGTTGTCCCCGACGCTTTGTCTCGTATTTTTAGCGAGGTTAACGGCGATCATGTGCCTTCCGAACCGCGCCTTGCGGCTATCTGTCGCAACGTGCCCGATGATAAACCATTTTGTCCCCCTGTCCCTCGCGATTACGAAGTGTCTTCATACAACCTCGATGAAACCGCGCTCGTCGAAAGCGACCGCGAATTATTTTCGAGTGCTGTCTCCGTCTTCCCGGTAGTCGATTCTGTCAAGCTGTTGGATCACCAAAAACGCGAGTTCCGCCAGTATTTCGATTACCTTGCTTCTCCCGCAAAATCCCCTGTTCCCTCGAACCAGTCTAAGTCTAGCATGAGCAAATTTTTCCTTCATGAAGGTTTGCTTTGTCGTTCGTACATCCCAGCCCACCTACGTCGTCGGGCTCACTTCCGCGATCCACTCGTGCTCCCGTCCTCACTACGAACCCTTGTCATCTCCTCATGCCATGACCTACCCTCCTCTGGAGGCCACCTAGCCTTCAAAGGTACTTTCGACAAAGTTCGCGACCGCTACTGGTGGCCAACTATGCACTCTGATATCACGCGTCACGTTCAGAGTTGCGAATCATGTCAACGTCGAAAAACGTCCCACCGACCGCCTCAACTGCCTGTCGGCCATCGTCCAGTAACGCAACCCTTCCAATGCGTAGCTGTAGATCTTGTTGAATACAAGTCACTGTCCGAAGGAAACCGCTACATCCTGTCTGTCATCGACCATCTCACGCGCTTCGTCATATTGATCCCAATCAAATCAAAAGAAGCCACTGTAGTAGTGCGTAACCTTGTAGACCGCGTCTTTTCGGTGTTTGGTCCGCCGGAAACTCTGCACTCTGATCAAGGCAAGGAATTTGAAAACCGGCTTGTGAAAGAACTGCAGTCTGTCTTTGGGTACAAGAAAACCCGTACCGCCGCGTATCGTCCTCAAGGTAACTCTGTCCTTGAGCGTGTCCACAGTACCGTCCACAACATGTTCGCTATGTACCGCAACCTGGCTTGTGATAATTGGTCGGAACTGTTGCCGTTTGTCCAACTTGCGCATAATACCGCGTACTCCACGACCCTACAGGAGACTCCTCATTATCTCATGTTCGGTCGCGCGGCCAAACTTCCGGTCGATCTCATTCTCGGTGTCCCCTCTACTCCGGCTCCCCAGAGCCGCCTCGATTACTCACGCCGTACCGTCGAGAATCTCCAACTAGCGTACGAGTTAGCTCGCCGCAACCTCAAAGAACGCTCATCTAAACAAGCGGATGCGAATGAGAAACTGTCCTTCCCTAGCTTTAAGTTCGGTGACCAAGTACTTGTCCATCGTCCGTACACCGAATCGGCTGGACCCAATCCCAAGCTCATTAGCCCTTGGCATGGTCCGTACACTGTCCGGGCCCAACTTTCGCCCGTCATCTATCGTGTCTCGAAACCTAACGAGCCGACCGAAACCACCGTCCATCTGGGTCGCATGAAACCGTACATCGCCCCTACTTCGTCTCCGGTCCCGGACCCTGAAACACTCGATGAACTGTTTTTAGGAACAACTCTCCCGTTGCCGGATCTCGATGGTTCCACAACCGCCGTCACCCTCGGTCCGTACACCATCGAATTTATCGACGGTCATAAACGGGGGGTAGGAGCAGCCTCGCTGGACAACTTCCAGTACCACCTCAAGTTGAAAGACTACTCGTCACAATTGGGTCTCTGGCGCCACTACCGTGCTATTCCCCAATGTGCCGAAATGATTGCATCCTACCGCGCCGAAATCTTGTCCCAAGATCCCTCAGCATTTTCCCCACCTCGGAGGAACGTCCGTTCATCCTCCGCCGCTAGCACTTAATATGGGCTTACTGTCTGCGCAATCTTGTCCAGCACCGTTTGTTATAATGGTCTGCCGTCCACCAATCCATCGGTTTGGCAACAACCTTTGGTCGACGCCCGCGTGCTTGTGATGTCTTTTGTCTGATTTCATTTCTTATTGCTGCGGCAATATCGAGTATTAGCATGTTTTCCTGTGCGTACTCGGGGGTTCCGTACCCACATGGCTTTTCTCCTGGTGCCCATGATTTTTCATTTGGGACCCGTGCGAAGTACCGCGCACGCCTTGTCGTTATTATATTTTGTTTTAGTTCCCGGCCGCATGTTTCCACGCCGCCCGGCAACTTCATTGATGTGTATTCTTGTCCCGTTGGTTAACGTCCCGTGGTTCGACTTCGTTACATCACTTGACGCCCCGCATCGTTTATATGCGCTAGAGCACTCGCACTGCCAGTAAGATGGGCGCCATTTGGTATTCTACTCCGTCTCCACGCGACGTACCGACACAGGCTTGCCTGCCATTTTCTTCTAGTGTGAATCGAGCGGTTGGTACCGCCACTCTCCGTGTCTATGATGGTTTTGGTGCGTGTATTGTCTCCCGCGTTGTCATGGTGTATTCCACCCGATTTTTTTTTATGTCGGGACCCATGCCCACTCTGCTTTCGTCGTTGCTATTGTGTCATTTGGTACTACTTGCAGCTTAGCGGATGGGGGGTCACCAGAGACCAACGACGGACGATTAATAAAAACACGATTTCAAAACACCTTTGCCTCCAGGGTATCACACGCCCTTGTCTTATCCAGCCTCGCTTCTCTCCGATCTCGGACAAGCATCGCTGATGACGACTGCTTGCCGCAATATGTACATACCGATGAATTCGATTCGTCCTGTGTTCCATCAATTTTCGGCCTTGCGACAATCAGTCTGTTTTTCTTTGTCATGTCCAACGTCAATACACGTCTGTCCTGTCTCCCGTCATTGTTGACGCAATGCCTAGCTTGATAACCCGCATTTCGTTATGCGCAAGAGCTCTGACCAGCCTACAAGATGGTTGTTAACTAGCGCACTGTATCACCGCAATGATGTAGCCATGCTGTCTATGTCTCACTTCGGTGACCTCATGTGCCCTGTCGCGTGCCATATCTTGTCTGGCCACGGTACGCAACGTTGCCCTGCACATGCTTGTCTCCCAGGATCTTCCCTCACTACTGTGATATGTAAGTAAATACACGGATCATAGTATGTATATGTCGCGACTAAAAATATTTTTGTCTTGTACGAGTCAGCCCTGCAGGCCGCAACGCAGAAATGCATTGCGATGTACTCCGTACTCCCGATCACTCTGTCCTTATCGATCCTGTGATAATTTTGTCTGTTGCCCAAACACTAACAACGGTGTTTTTGTCAACCACGGTACATGTCCCGTTCACGGCTTTACCTCCGGCACTGCTGTTGTCCGTACATCCATGTATGTGTCGTCGTTAAATTGACGTTGAGTGAAGTAAATTTAATGTAAGTAAGCTTATTGTCAGCGAACCAGAACTCCTCGCTGTTGAGTTTTGGTGGAGTACGAGCTCTAACACCACCAAAACTGGGGGGTGATGTGAGTCACTGGTCTGTCTGCCATATAGGTTCCACTTGAGGCCCTCTGTCCTCTGTCTAACTGTTCCTCCGCTGGTTCTGCGGATCTTTCCGTGCGGCCCGCATGCGCAAGTATGTCACTGTATGCGCATGCCCGGCTACCGCACATGCTACACCCGCCCGGACATCACTGCCCGGCATATTGTCTTGTCCTCTCACGCCCGGGGAGATAACGCCCCGGCCGTGCCGATGCTGTGCGCGTCACCGCGCCAGCGCAGACTGCGCCACGTCAGGCTGGTTCTGCGTCGACAGGGCTGAGGATCGGTGTGCTGTGCACACCTCGCCTCCCCCCTCGTCTCTCACTTCTCTTTTCCTTTCCCTCTCTTCCCAGAGGCCACCACTGGCTCTTCCTAGGGAAACTACTCTGTCTGTCACCAGCGGCCCCCACCGATCGCTCCGGAAGTCTCCTCTGTCCCTACAGTTGAGAGAAGGTTCAACCCCTTCCATCGGTCCGAGGTAGCCCATACTCTTAAATCAATAAATAAATACAAGTGAACCATTATTGTGAACTAGGTCATGAAGATTTGTGGCCTAGACTGTGTGTGTGTTTTTATTGTTAGCATCGACTGTGTGTGTGTGTTTTCGTCCTATTTATTATGGCGACAGTCCCCCCATTTTTCGTGGTGAGACGTGTACTACACTTTCCAGCGAATGTAGAGTACTACACTTTTTTAGTGTATTTTTTCGTACAACTACAACCATCCGGGGTCGCACAGGAGGAAGTGAAACACCAGGGCTTTTTTCGTCTTTTTATTTCTTTTCATGCCCCCCCTTCCTCCTGCGGTGCGTGCTGAATTTTATTTTATCGCGAGAAGTGTCCAGCCGTCCCTTTGCCTCGTCAACGGTGCTCACGTCGAAGTTTGGTACTCAGGAGAGCTTTTTTAGCTTTGTTTCGCTTTCATCCGCAAATTTCGTTAATTTTTCACCCCATGGGAATTCGAACAAACGACCTCTGCAACTAGCGGATTACGAGGATACCACTATACCACCGGGGCGGACTATGCCAATGAGTTGCAGTATATTGCCAACCAAGACCAGGGTAGGATATACACGAAGGGAAATGTGCCGTTTTTTAGACACGTGGCCGGGACAACTAACCATTAATAAACGTGTTTTGACAACGTAGGTCGCTTTCGCGTGGGTCCCACCGGTACTGTAGGACTACATCAACCAAGAACACACGATAGTACCGTTGCCGTACATGTGATACACGGCAAGCAACGCATTATTGTCCGCCGCAGGAACCATGCATGCAGCATGTGCTCTGTAAATGTAGTTCCTTCCCTCTCTGGGGTCGGCGAAAAATGGATTGTGACAACACGCTCATGATGAAACATAACGCAGCAATCAGCGTCAATCAAATGCACAGCAACCGCGGCAAATCTCTGCGTGGAGCGCTGGGCCGCAATGTCTAACAGGCAAAATCGTTGTGCTGGGGTACGGCGTGTGTTTCGACATGTAGAGTATGAGTGCATAGACAAACGGTGTGCGTGACAAAAACGTCTGCGAAAAGTGCGCACGCCAAACAAACGGCACCGTTCATGTGAGTACCGCAGAGGAGCAGACAGAGCGATAGGTTACTCCTGCTCACAGAAGAGAACCAACGAGGAGCACACGCACGTATGTTGCACTACTTTACACAGACAAGTCTACATTGGATCAAGACTACTCCATCAAGAAAAATCGTCATCGCAGTCTGTTGACCTCAGCGTTCCTGTGCATTGGTCTCGCGGTTTCTCCCGCATATCTTATCGGGATTTTACCTGTCTATCCCTGCCTCCTGGCGTTTGCCTCAGCTGTCTGTTGCCTCGACCTTCTTCCAACTGCCAACCAACTGTGCGTGTTCAGGGTTCTTGGTTGCGGGGTGCAGACCAACAAAACCCAAAAACTTCATCGCATAGATTACTTATATTTCTTCGGAAAACTTGAAAAAACGTAAAAAACAAAGACACCGGACGGAGAGGCAGTAGTACCTGCTGTGTCTTTGTGGATATGACTCTACTACTACTGGTACTGTGAGGTCACCCGCCACTCATTGTAACCAACTACTAGCGTACGACCTTTGCGCCCGTTACTTTGACGTTTTGCGTAAAGTACTGTATATATGTAGTAGCCAACAGATCCCGGCGGGGTAAACTGCGAACGTGGATTATGGGGTGGCACCAGCATCGTATGTTCGCGAACGACGCAGCGGAACGATATTTTTTGTCCTCTTTGCCTCTCCTACTTATCCACACTGCCTGGCCTCCTCGCTCTTCGCAAGCCCACTTGGCACTCAGACAGCAGTACGATGGGTTCATATGTGCGACATCCAGGCATCCCCCATACCGCCGCTGCGAGAATATGGTACAGGCGAACATGTGTGGTCTCTCGGCGCTCGCCGGAGCAGCAGGAGAGCGAATCAACATCATCTATTTTGGGTGCAAGGAACCAATCGGACGGACCCCCTCCCCCCTCAAAAGTCGTCGAGCGGGTTCGTCCGTGTACCTTCCCTAACGCACTGGCACGCACGCAGGCATGCAAGGGGACTTGGGCAGAACAAACCGAGCAAGCAAGCATATCCATACCGCAGACACATCATACCTTGTGATGACATCTCGCTACAATAGTTGTCCGTCCGGGCTGCTTCCTCTTTTGGCGTGTGCCCGTCCTCTGGCGCCGGCTCACAGACACAGCGCCCCGTTCTCAAACTCCAACTCACAATCCAGGTGGTGCTGCTGCACGGAGTACAATGTTCGAGAGCACGAGAGCTGCTCAATCAATGGGGAAGAGTGCAGATGGTAGCTAGCGGTCCCCACGTCCCTGGTTGTGATAGGCGTAGCGTCTCTAAAGTCGGCAGCAGTACGTTTCGTGACTTGGGGAGACGGGAGACGGGAGATAAGATCCACAAAACGACGAGAAAAAAAAAAATACAAAGAGCCGATCTGTTCAACTTGGATCTGTTCCACAGCCCACCGCACCGAGGAGCAGGAGCCCAGAAATAGGTTCTGCCTGTCTGTGCACCAACCATCCGAAAATACTGCTGTTCCTCGTGTCCACGAAGGAGCGCGATTCTTTGGAATTTGGACCACAGCAGGCCTGACTGCTCCTCTTGCCTTCTTTGCACATGTTGCCCGCCGTTACAGCGTGCCTTTTTGTTAATTCTCCCATCGGTACAAATACATGGATTGATTTCCCCAGTATAGATATACCTACGTCTGCCGCGAAACCGTTTCATCCGCATCTCAAAACCGCCGCAAAGTGTACTGTCGGCCTTGGGGGTATCCAACGGTGAGGGCAGAGATATCCATTATCGCCACCACCACCACACACGTACGTTTTTCCTTACGAACACATCTGTATGTAGACTAGACTACAATGAGCAGACGAAGTCTACATACTTTGCAGAAGTGTATTCCCGCAGCAGTCGCGGGGGAAGAACTGAAAACTGGGTTCATGTCTTGTAAGAGGTACATATATATATATATATATATGCTGTTGTCATCTTGTGCCATCATCGCAGAAAAAAGAGAGGATTATTATCTCATCCACTCATTTTGGCCACACAATGTGGAGGCAGGAGAAGAAACAGATTCTGCCTTTGCACGAACGACCTGCAATAATTCCTGTGCCAAAAGGGGGGTGGATCGTAACCTCGGGATCGCAGCACCCTGACTCCTCCTCTTGAGCTCATTTGCATCATCTATTGCCCGCCACTAGAGCGTGCCCTGTCGAGTCTCTCATCGGTGCAGATGCGATCAGTGGGATGTTGGCGCCTCTGTGTCCAGCTGGTTCCCGGTAGATCTGCCGTGAAACCGGAACAACAACCGCATCTCAACACCATTACTTTCGGCCTGGTTGTCCTAAGTCTCTCATTCTCTCTCTCATTCTCTCTCTCTCATTCTCTCTCTCTCTCTCCCTCTCTCTCTCTCTGTCTCTCTCTCTCTCTCTCTCTCTCTACACACCACTCCACCAGACACCATTGATTATTATGTTTCATTAACGTTAGGTTCGTCATCAACGCTTCGTAGAAGGCGTGCAATTTTCATTTCTATTTTTTGTTTTCTGAATTTCCCACGGAATGGTGGAAAGAAAAACCGACATTTTTTCGCTTGTGCAATTCGTGACGTCATCGCATAAGGTACGTTTCCTTCCCTGGATACACGCTTTGCTCAGCACACATCAGGTTGTGACTTGGGGGTGCTCACCACAGAGCAGCGGTAAAAGCGCAATGAGCAGCACCCGACACAGATGACGACACACTTCGAAAGATCCTATCCACCCGGCCTGCTGTTTTCAGTTTTCAGCAATAACAGGCGCAGGGCAGAGTGTCGCAACCTGGGTGTTGCTTTCGATTTCTTCAGTTTGCCAGCTCATTTTTCACGGTTGCGACTCCCATCTTTGACCATTAACTGCCGAATGGTAGACGAGCTCAACAATCATAGGGCGGCAGCCGCGCTGAAAGCCAGCATCATAGAGATGGTCAATCCGAANTTAACTGCCGAATGGTAGACGAGCTCAACAATCATAGGGCGGCAGCCGCGCTGAAAGCCAGCATCATAGAGATGGTCAATCCGAAAGAATTAGCGTGTCGGAGGCCCCGTTGCTCTTCCGCTGCGTGGTGCCGTAGATTGATGTTGACGTGTCCGACCAAAAACAGCACATCTCGCCGCATTTTTTCCAACGGCATGGAGGGGTGGCACACGTCTCTCACACACCCTTTGAGGAGCACCCAAGCACCCAATACCCACGAAGCAGCACAGCGCCGGGAGATGGTATCTTATAGACAGCCGAACCGAAGGAATCAGCGCGTTGGAGGTCTTGGTGCTGCTGCCGTACTCGTTGTACTGTTTCCGTATTTACTAAGTGTGATTGAAACAAATTCCCCAGCACCAACAGCAGCAGTTGAGGCCGCCGCACTACACGTACGCATGTACGCAATGTCTAGTTTTGGACCAAGAACGGACTG